TAGCCACGTGGGCGCCATATGTAAGGAGTAAGGTTTTTCCTCCCACCACTAGGTCTTGTCCCACCGCTGCACCAGCCCCAATTAACATACAGAGACTCTGTATTAGATATAATGCTGTTGGCCGGGTACTAGTTTCTTATCAGCTAGCTCTGTCTTAATTATTAATCCATTTCTATGTATTTCCATGTGGTCATATCTTACTGGGGAAAGGCGGCTGGCAGACCTGCTTTCTCCAGACTATCTTGACTCCTCCTTACTACTTCCTCTTTCTTGTCTCTTAGTCTCTCCTATCCTCCTTTCCTATTGACCAACAGTGATTTATTCATTAACGAGTATGAGAAACATATAATGGCATCTCCCATCACTTTGTCATCTGAATAAAGTAGGCCTACTGATTTTTTTGAGTTTATCTTGTATCCTGCTAGTTTGCTGAAGGTGTTTATCAGCTGTAGGAGTTCCCTGCTACAGCTTATTGGGTCGCTTATGTAAACTATAATATCATCTGCAAATAAGGAAAGTTTGACTTCTTCCTTTCCAATTTGTATTCCCTTGATCTCCTTTGGTTGTCTTATTGCTTTAGTTAGAACTTTAAGTACAATATTGAAGAGATATGGAGAGAGAGGTCAGTTTTGTCTTGTTCCTGATTTTAGCAGAATCGCTTTAAGCTTCTCTCCATTCAGTTTGATGTTGGCTTTTGGTTTAATGTATATTGGCCTTATTATATTTAGGTATTTTCCCATGATCTCTGATCACTCTGAGACGTTTATCATGAAAGGGTGTTGAATTTTGTTGAAGGGTTTTCATCATCTGGGAGATGATCATATGGATTTCTTTTTCAGTTTGTTTATATGGTAGATCATGGAGATAGACTTTTATATGGAAAACCATCCCTGCAACCCAGGCATGAAGCCTACTTGGTTATGGTGGATGATTTCTCTGATGTATTCTTGGATTCGGTTTGCCAGTATTTTATTGAGTATTTTTGCATTGATGTTCATCAGGGATATTGGTCTGTAGTTTTCTTTCCTAGTTGTGTCTTTCTGAGGCTTAGGTAACAAGGTGATTGTGGCCTGGTAAAAAGAGTTTGGTAATGAACCTTCTGCTTCTATTGTGTGAAACAATTTGAATAGTATTGGTATTAGCTCTACCTTGAATTTTTGATAGAATTCTGCACAGAAGCCATCTGGCCCTAGTCATTTTTTAGTTGGAAGGTTTTGATGACTGCTACTATTTAGTTAGGAGTTATAGGTCTATTTCAGTTGTTTGTCTATTCTTGATTTAATTTTGGTAAGTGATGGTTATCTAAAAATTTATCCATTTCTTTTGAATTCTCAAATTTTGTGGAGTACAGGTTTTCAAAATATGACCTGAAAGTTGTCTGGATTTCCTCTCAGTTGTTAGGTCCCCTTTTCATTTCTGATTTTGTTAATTTGCATGTTTTCCCGTTCTCTGCTTTAGTTTGGATAGTTTATCTATCTTGTTGATTTTCTTGAAAAAACCACTCTTTGTTGCATTGATTTTTTTTGTATTGTTTTCCTGGTTTCTATTTTGTTCATTTCAGCCCTCAAATTGATTATTTTCTGGCATCTAATCCTCTGTGGTGAGTTTTCTTCTTTTTGTTCTATGTTTTTCAGTTGTGATGTTAATTCTCTGATGTGACTATCTTCTGTTTTCTTATGGGTACTCAGTACAATGAACTTCCCCCAGAACACTGCTTTCAAGGTGTCCCATAAGTTAGGGTGTGTTTTGTCATCATTCTCGCTGAATTTTAGGAAGTTCTTAATTTCTTTCTTTATTTCTTCTTTGACCCAGGTATAGTGCAATTGCATATTATCCAGTTTCCATAAGTTTGTAGTGTATAAGATTTGTGCTTCTGTTGAATTCCAATTTTAAAGCATGGTGGTCTGATAAGATACAGGGGACTATTAGAATACTTTTGTATCAGTTGAGGTTTGCTATGACACCTCGTATGTTGTCAATTTTAGAGCAGGTTCCATGTGGAGCAGAGGAGAAGGTATATTCTTTTGTGTTTGGATGGAATGTTCTATAGATGTCTATTAAACCCAGTTGAGACATAACTTCTATTAGTTCTTTTATTTCTTTGTTGAGTTTCTGATTGGTGGTCCTGTCTAGTGGTGAGAGTGGTATGTTGAAGTCTGACAATAAGTGTGTGATATTTTATGAGAGGTTTGAATTTTAGTAATGTTTCTTTTACGAATGTGGGTGCCATTGTATTTGGGGCATAGATGATCAGAATTGAGATTGTGTGTTGATGGATTCCTCCAGCGATGAATACAAAATGACGATCTTCATCTCTTTTGATTAATTTTGGTTTGAAGTCTAATTATTTAGATATTAGGGTAGCCCCACCTGCTTGCTTCTTGGTTCCATTTGATTGGAAGCACTTTCCCCAGCCCTTTACTCTGAGGTGAAAGGTCTATCTTTGAAGCTTAGATTTTTTTTTTTTTGTATTCATCAGAAGGATGGATTCTGTCTTTGTATCCATTTTGTTAGCCTGTGTCTTTTTATAAGCGAGTTAAGACCATTAATGTTGAGGGAGAGTAAGGACCATTGATTGTTAATGCTTGTTTGTTTTAGATTTGTTTTTGGCAGTGGTATTGTGAATATATTTGGCCTGCTTTACCCTTGGCTTCTGGTGAAGTTGGATTATCTGTTGCCTAATTCTTTGTGAGCATAGTTAACATCATTGCTTCAGAGTATTCCTTCCAAAACTTTCTGTAGGGCTGGATTTGTAGATACGTATTTGAAAATCTGGCTTTGTCATTAAATATCTTGTTTTTTCTGTATATAGTGATTGGTAGTTTTGCTGGGCTGGCATCCGTGGAGTCTTAGTACTTGTAAAACATCTATTCAGGACCTTCTGGCCTTGAGGGTTTCCATGGAGATGTCAGGTATAATTTTGATAAGTCTGCCTTTATATGTTACCTGTCCCTTTTCCCTCACAGTTCTTAATATTCTTTCTTTATTCTGTAAGTTAGACATTTTTATTGTTATGTGTCAAGAGGCATTTTTCCTTTGTCCAGTCTATTTGATGTTGGTTATGCTTCTTGTACTTTCATGGGCATGTCCTTCTACAGATTGGGAATGTTTTTCTCAATGATTTTGTTGAATATGTTTTTGTCACTTTTGAGCCTGGCTTCCTCACCTTCCTGTATGCCTATTATTCTTAGGTTTGGCCGTTTCATGGTGTCCCATATTTTCTGGATGTTTTGTGTTATGGATTTTTTTGGATTTACGTTTTTCTTTGGTCGATAAATCTATTTCCTCTAGTTTATCTTCTGTGCCTGAAATTCTCTCTTCCATCTCTTGAATTCTGTTGGTTATGCATGCATCTGTAGTTCCCAATCATTTTCCCAGTTTTTCTATTTCCATCATTCCTACTGTTTGTGTTTTTTTTTTTTTTTTTTTTTTTTTTTTTTTTTTGTCTCTATTTCAGTTTTCAGGTCTTGAACCGTTTCCTTTCACCTGTTTAATTGTTTTATCTCAGCTTTCTGTACTTTTTTTTAAGAAATTTCTTCATTTCTTCCCGTTTTTTTTTTTTTTTTTTTTGTTTGTTTGTTTTTTCTTCCATTTACTTAAGGGATTTTCACACATCTTCTTTGAGAGCCTCTATCATTTTTATGATGATAATTTTTAAGTCATTATCTTCTGCTTCATCTGCTTTGTTGTGTTCCTGTCTTCTTGTTGTAGATTCCCTAGATTCTGATGGTGACATGCTTGTCTTTCTGTTGTTAGGTGTTTTCTTGTATTGCTGTCTTCCCATAGACTCCTTCCAGTAGGTGTTGGTGGGGTCTCTCCCTCTCTCTCTGGTACTTCCCTGGTGGGCTTAGGTGGGTCAGAGGTTTGATGTCTATAGCTCTGGGTGGTTCAAGCTCTCTAAGAGTTCTCTCTACAGGCAGGGGTCCGTTGATGGGGGTCAAAAATCAGGCTCCAGCAGAAGACTGCGATGAGTGTCAAAGATCTTTAGTGCTGGGACTCAGGATGTCCCTTAAGCTAATAGGCAGATCTAGCCTGGGCCTGATACTCTCCAGTTGAGGCCTCTTTGGCAGAGGCCCTTTGATGGGTGTCAAAGAACCAGGCCGCAGGAACAGGGATAGGCGGATCTCTGGGAGGGGCCCAGAACTCCAGTAGGGGTCTGATGGTGGGGGTCAGAGATCAGGCAGGTGGAAATTACGGATGGTCCCACGTGGATAGGCTGGTCTAGTGTGCTCAGAGCAGCTCCAGGAAGTTCCCAGAAGGTGGCTGGACTGTTGGCTCCACCCTTTGTCCCAGTGCTCAACCAGAGTGGTGAGGCAGTGGGCAAGGTAGGGCACAAGGTAGGGTGAGGACAGGCTCTTTGTGGGGGTAGGTGGATGTGTATCAGTGGTCCAAGGATGCTCTCAATGGGAACAGGGCACAGGGGCCAACCCAGGGAATTCCCAATTAATGCCATAGGGGTGAATCTACCCGAATTTGTTGCAGACCCACCTCAAGCCAAGGCCTGGCAATGGAGGACAAAGTGTGAGCTGATACTCCTATTTTATTGTTTACTTAATGACTGCCATTATAAGTGGGAGGAAACAGAATTGATATAACTTTTGAATTTGGATATTTTTGATAACCACTGATGTTGGAATTTTTTAGATATTAATTGTCTATTTGCACATAGTTATGTTGTTTTCACTTTCTTTTTCATTCATTCTTTGTGTCTTTCACATGATGCATCTCAATGCCGTTCATTTCCTGCCCTTTCTTATCTGCCCTTTGCCCTTGCAAACCCCCCAAATAAAATAAAATTTAAGAGAAAAAGGGGGGGGGGGGGAAGAAACAGTATCATCATCAAAGCTATACTGTGACACAGTGAGTCATGCAATAAGCTTTTTTTTTAACCATGTATTTTTGTGTGCAACCGTTTATTGCAAAGAGTCATTTGTCTACTTCAAGGACTCTTGTTTCTGTTACACTGTCAATACTGGGCCCTCACTGGGACTCTTCTTGGAAAACATATGGAATACTTCATGAATTTGCATGTCATCCTTGTGCAGTGGCAATGCTAATATTTTTTTGCATAATTCCAATTTTAGTAACATATTCTGTCAAATGAGCCCCATAATTTATATTTTGAGAAATGTGTTTTTATTTCATTGGTCATTTGTTTACTAGGTTATTTTAATGACTTCATGACAACGCATCACCGAGATACTAGCATGTCTATGTTTATTGCAATGTTACTCATGATAAAGAAGCAGTGGAAAGAATGAATCTAGATGCCCATATAAGGATAGATGTAGAAAATTTAATATATTTGATATTTCAGCATACAGTCACATAAAATGTTTAGCCATAAATTGGAATAATATTATTTAATTTTCAGGAAAGTACATAAATATGCTCATAATCAGATTAAATGATTTAAGTAAATATCAAAAGTAAAATATCAAATATTGTCTCCTTTGTGGGTATTACAATTTATATGGCTACAGAAAATTATGTTCATATGACATGAAATGAAAGAAAATTGGCCAGAAGTAAAAAGAGATGTAATAACAGGTGGGAGGGCAAAAAGAGAAAGGATAGCAGGATATAGTGAGCATATGCTCAAAGTACAATATATATTTGGATAATAGTGAATATATATTTGATATTATATACCAAAAATTATGTATAATGCGATATTATCAATCTCTGTTTCATGAACAGTACATAAATAAAACAAAACAATTGCAAAATGAAAAGGCAAGAATTTATTTTTCCCTTTTTATTTATACTTTTCACACAAAATATTTTATCATGTTTATTCCCTTTCCAGATGCCTTGCAGATCCTCCTATCTTGAGGAACATTAGTTTAAGGTGTGTCACATTCATTTATGCTGTGGAATTTGTTCTTAATGATGCAAAGATGTATTGCATTTCCTTAACTCAAAGAAGTGGTTTCACTTTGCCTGCCTTAAGTACCTGATTGGTTTAAGAAAGAGCTGAACATTGAACATTTGTCAAGAGAGAGAAATATGTGGGGCTACTCAGCAGAGAGAATAAGAGGATATTAATATCCATCCACCCATCCATCAGTCCATCGTCCGTCTGTCTGTCCATCCATCCATCCATCCATCCATCCATCCATCCATCCAATCATCCATCCATCCATCCATCCATCCATCCATCTACAGAGCCAGCAACAGTGTAAGAAAAGAAATACATTTAGGATAGAGAAAGGTAAAATCCCACAGCAAAAGTTATATGGGATAATTTAAGAAAAGTTGGTTAGAAACAAGCAAAGGCCAGGCATTCATAAGTAAGTTTTTATTTTGGAGCTTGGTGGTGGACTCCCAAAGAGTAAAGAATAAAAACATTAAACTACACTCCTTAGTATTTACAAATGCCTAGATTTTAATATTAGTCAGTAAAAGAGTGAAGGAATTAACAGACAAATGTTCAATAACAAAGACAAGGGAAAATGTTTACAAAATAAAACCAGGGACTGAGACATAGCTCAGTAGTAAAGAGCATGTGCTGCCCTTGTAGAGGACCTGGGTTCTGTTTCCAGGATCCACACAACAGCTCAGGACTGTTTGCTACTCTAGAACCAGAATATTTGAAGTCATCTTCTTGCTGACACAGGCACTATGTGGACAAAATGCATATACATACATGAGGGCAAACCACTGATATATATATATATATATATATATATATATATATATATATATCCTTTAAAAATCCAAATTATTACAAGTATATGTGGACAACATATAGTCTATAAGTGCCATAAAATGAAAATATAATAGGGCAAATACATAAAAAGATAGATTTGAATATTTATGTATGAAGTAGAGAAATATATACTGAAGAGCATAGTGTAAAATTTATGTGTTGAATTCTGTAGAAGTATCATTAATCATTATTCAGCTTACAATTTTAAGTATGAGAAATTGAGAGCCATAGGACCAGTAATTAACCTTGATCTGAGGCTCTCTTAATTTTCTTATTTTTTAATTTTTGTGCTTTTGATTTGGTCCAGTTTGAGTTTTGTTTTTAATGTAGAATTTTACTATATAGTTCATGCTGGTCTTGAACTCACTTTGTAACCTAGGCTAATATTGGCCATGAAAATCTTCTTGCCTCCTCCTCCCATGTTTGAATTATGGGTCTTTAATACCACACTCATCTTTGTAATAAACTATATTGTACATCAAAATTCATTTGTCTTACTGTACAAGTTTTGAGGTGATGATGATACTGCTATGTGAAAGACTTAACTTCGAATATTATTGCTGTAGTCTAGGTAAGCATAATTCACTTGCTGAACAAATATGATGGTTGTCCTGCCATCAGTTGAAGAGTGAAAATATAAGGTTTGAACCTGAGTAAGATAAATGCATATTAAATTATATAATGGAATATTTCATATATACACAAAAGATATGCTAATTACCTTTACCTGAAAGTATAAACTGTACAATAAGGGTAATCTTTCAAAAAATATTTTGAAGTTTTCAAGTAATTATATCAAAGTGCATCAAACCAACAATTTATATAGTAAGTAAAAGATCTGAAAATTACCCAAAAAGTATTTACCAAACATTTAAGTATATTAGGCTTGTTCCATCTGACTGAAAACTTAGCTTCTATCATTTCCTTAAAAACTGGTTGCAAACAAAATTGAAATGTAAAGATTAACACTAGTGCTCTCTCTCTCTCTCTCTCTCTCTCTATATATATATATATATATATATATTAATAAATCTTCAGAGATAAAAATAATAACATGATACAATAAGGCTAGATATCTAACTGAAGATAGTATTTAAATAAAATTATTCTAAGTACTGCCTCAGTCCAAAAATATTAAAATATAAATGATTTACATATACAAAATTATCTAGCAACCAAACTAAATTCAACTTGTAAATTATTAAAATTTCAATTGGAAGTATTTGGAAGTTCCCCAAAACCAATACTTGCTTCTCTCTATTCCTGAAAATAAAATTTGACAACATAATAAAAATAGTGGGTGATGTATACTGCAACTATTTTTCTTTATTGAAAATGACTTTGATTTTGTTGAGTCTTGCTAATTACTATGTCCTCTTAACGTAATAATGAATCCTCAGTTAGGCTGGATTTTTTATTTTTACTGATTTAGGTAGTGTACAGTTGAAAAATCCTTTAGTCCCAGGGTTAAAATGTACCACATAGCAAAGAAAGAAAAGACCCAGATCTTATGACCCAGGGTTAATTTTTCCATTGACATTAAACTACTCAGAAAAATATTTCATAACCGAAGCAACAGTAAAGCTGAGGTACCCAGAGATCTTGGAATATTGGGCTAATAAGTCTTCATTACAAAAGAAAAGATGTCTGTATAAGCAATGGGAAAGACCTTTTCCCCTTAAAAAATATATCTGTTCGTCATTCTATTTTCCTTACATATTTGGAAAAGAAAAAGACTAAAATTGTAAATCATAAAATATCCAGCTTAGACTAAGATATAGGTGAATGATCCTTAATTATGGCATTAGAGGTCGTTATAAACAAGATAATTAACATTTTCTTTTTTATTTAACAGTGTTTTCTTATTTTACCTATCTATCCAAGTTCACTCTCCCTGCCACCTTCCCTTGCCCCCCACATACCACCTATCCCATCTCCCATCCACCCCTCAGGAATGATGAGGCCCTCCATGAGGGATCATCAAAGTCTGTCATGTCACTTAAGGTAGGGCCTAGGCCCTCCCCCCATTTCTCCGAGCTAAGGGAGTATCCCTACATGGGGAAAGGCTCCGGAACTCCATTGGTGCATTATGGATACATCCTGGTCCCTCTGTCAGAGGACTGCTCAGGCCTCCTGAGACCCACGTTTAGGGGATATGGGTCAGTCCTAGGCTGGTTTCCCAGCTGTCACTCTGGAGTCCATGAGCTCCCCCCTTTTCAGGTCAGCTATCTCTATGGGTTTCTTGAAATTCAATTTGGAAAGATGCTCTTGGTTCTAAATATGATTTAGAAAATTTGGCACAGCAATTTTATTTCTGAGAATCTATTTTACAGAAATACCCAGGCAGATGTGCAAACTGCAGATGTGCAAACTTTTAGCTATAGGGATATTGAAAGCAGAACCATTTAAAGCAAAGACAAACAAAAATAAGGAATATAACCTAGTAAAATTTTAAAATACTTATGAAACATGTATAATTCATGAAGAACAAAGCAGATGTTTATTTAAATTTTTCTTCCTGATGAATATTTTTCTTTTACCATGGTTGAACTATTAAATATTTTCACAATAGTAAATATAAAATAATGCTTTTCCTATAACATAATACAATTTACAATGACTTTCATTGTGGCACTTTCACTGAGAGTATAGTACACAGGATGATGAAGACTTTGAAGCCATCCTATGTGATACATCTGATGCCCTCTCAAAAACTAAATAGTGAGGCATAGTGGCATGCAACTTTAATCCAAGAAATGGGCAGACAGAGGTAAAAAGAAATTTGTGAATTCCAGGCCATCTTAATCTTTAAGCAAAATCCTATCTCAAACATATACATACATATAAACATAAAATAAAACAGTAAATTCGTATTCCTTCTGCTTCTGATTCAATAACTGGTGAGACATTATAGGTAAATATATTCCTGTTAAGAAGTACTTTTCAAAACATCAGATTCATAAATATTATTTTTCTTTATAACATGCCAGTATAGCAAATAGAATTTTAAATAAATAGACACATACAAAATGTTCAAAATGTATTTTGAAATTATATATACAATATTAAAATAATATCTGATAAAACATAAAATAAGATATCACTTCTTAATACTTATATACTCTATATATTTTGCAATTACATGACTTATATATAATTTATTGTACATTTAATTTTAAAATTATGTTAAAACAAATAATTATATAAATTATACATTTTATTATATAAAATTCAATATATAAATAATTGTGATTGTATGTATATATACATACATATACATATATATATATACAAAACATACACACATAATATATATATATATATACACACATAATATATATATATATATATATATATATATATATATTAATAGATTTACCATACCGATATA